ACACCCCCTAACTAACAACCAGATAGAACCTACCAAAAGACGATAAACCCCGGCTAAAATCGATTCAAAAGCACTAAACTCCTGCTAAAAACTACTTAAAAAAGCCCCACTGTCAGGCCTGAGGGGAGTCCTCAGAGCTCACCGACAGCCTCACAGGCGTGCCTGCGCCGGCTTGCGGGCGGAGGGTTGAAAAGGAATGGGCGCTGATGGGCTTGGGCCTTAGGGATCTTGACGGTCGGGGTCTGCAAGGCTGTGTGCCTGTTAAAAAGAGTGCTTATGGGATTCGTCAAGGGCTTCGAGGGTCGAATGACATGTCCATGATGCAGTAAGGTAGGTTCCTTAATAATTAGAATAGGATTTTTGGGTATATTTATATACTTATAATAAGGAGCTCCCAGAATAGTATTGGTACTTATTCAGGCTTTTACATGACGAGCTTTGGGACGCGGGGTTCTGAAACAAAAACCACCGGACGCTGGGTCGAGGCTCAGTTGCTCTTGCCCAAAGAATTTGGCCCTTCGGCCTTTGGTTTGAAGAGGCCGTTCAGGGGTTCCAGGGTTAAGGGTTTAGGGTTCACGAACAAGACATAAGATTCGGATGCCGACTTCGTGTGTTATGACCGTCTTCAGCTGTAAAGAGGCGTGGGGACAAAGCGACAAAGCAACGATGGATTCGAGGAGTGAGATCTGAACGGTATGCGCGGGCTCAAAGCCCCATAACTCGATAACATATGTCAGAAAGGTCTGAAGCTACAGAAATCAGCTAAAGAACTCATGCAGCAAACGGGGACCACAACTGAAACGCCAATGAATATATGTGGTTGACTTAGCGCATGTTGTGATCAAGAGAGAGAAGGATGATCTTCTGCACAGGGTCGCGTTTGAGACTAATCGGGTATCTGAGAACTCTACTGAATACCATAGAAGGATACGGAAAGTTATCTAAATCAAGGACCCTTTTAGAGTCCTTTTTGGGGTGCCGTACTATTTTGGGGACCTGAAAAGGGACCCTAATTTAAAGAACTACCTATTTGCTTGCTGTGAACATACGGGGAATATACTGTTGTTCTCAACCTGTGATGAACTTTCTTCCATTACTTACTCTTATACTCCTACTTACCGTTGGCAGAAGAATAATTCGACAACAGGTTGAGATTATTCGGTACTGTTGTTCATGCAGGGATGTGGTTGCTTCATAATGATGGTCCCAAAACTCACAACCTTTTCGCCCTAAAGCCCTACAAACCCTATAAACCCAATAAACCCTGGAAGCCCTAAAATCCCTAAACC